AGAATTGTTTGTCATAGATTTTGTTCTTCTTTGTGTCAATTTAGAATTTTCTTTTCTCTGATAGGAAAGGAAAGAAGAAGCTGTAGACATCTTGAGAAGGATATACCCTGCTGAGGAGGTTGAAGCAGAAATTGAGGCTCTACGACTATCAGTTGAAGCTGAAATTGCTGAGGAAGGTTCGATCGGAGAATATAGTTTACCTGGTAAGTTAAGGAAGGCATTGAGCAGTGTAGCTGTCCGGAGAGGACTCGTTGCAGGCATTCTCTGCCAGGTTGCTCAACAGTTTGTGGGTATCAATACCGTTATGTATTACAGTCCCACTATTGTTCAGTTGGCTGGCTTTGCTTCTAACAGTACTGCCTTAGCACTTTCTCTAATAACCTCTGGGCTCAATGCCCTTGGATCCATAGTCAGCATCTACTTTGTTGACAGAGCTGGGAGGAGAAGGTTGCTACTTCTCAGTTTGATTGGTATCGTAACCTGTCTTGCATTACTTAGTGGTGTGTTCTTTGGAGTAACAAAACACTCACCAGCGGTTAGCAAAGAGGAAACTCAACTATTCGGCAATTACACATGTCCTGCTTTCAACCCAACCTCAGGCATGGAATGGACGTGTATGGACTGCATGAGAGCAACTTCTGAGTGTGGCTTTTGTGCTCATGGAGGGAATAAAGTAAGTACTCAGCTGTCAAATCCCTTTATCCTTAAATCCTTACTGTTGTTTGTATTTTAGTAAAAATCCTGGTTGTTCTAACCATGAATTATTATGTCATTTTAAGAAGCTATTAATCTATTGTTTTCCACGTAGCGGTGTAAGAGATGTTTAGAATGCCTTAGCTTTTAGGTAGAGCTATGTTCGGTCCAGGATGACTTAAAACCGTGTGAAATTGTTCTTGTTTTCAGCAAGTTTGTAACAGTTCAAGCTCCTTGCAGATAATGATCTGCAACTAGCCTTTATGTTTTCAGTTAAATCGACTTCATCTCTTTTGGTCTCATGTACATCACATATCTTCCTACTTAAGTGGAACATTAAATTCATAAGTCTAGTTACATCAATGTTCTAAACCATATTATCTATTGTGCTTGGAATTTCTATACAGCTTCTTCCCGGAGCATGCTTGCGGTCGGATTCTACGGTTAGAGATGCTTGTCACGCCAATCATCGTGAGTGGTATACTCGAGGATGCCCAAGCAACTTTGGATGGTTGGCTCTCGTCGCTCTCGGAGCATACATTGTATCTTACTCTCCTGGCATGGGCACTGTCCCCTGGATTGTCAACTCGGAGATATACCCCTTACGATACCGAGGACTCTGTGGGGGGTTGGCCGCAGTAGCTAATTGGGTCTCCAATCTGATCGTCACGCAAACCTTTCTGAGCTTGACAGAGGCTTTAGGAACAGCTCCCACCTTCCTCTTGTTCTGTGGCATTTCTGCTGTTGCCTTTGTGTTTATCTTTTTACTTGTACCGGAAACCAAGGGTTTATCATTCGAAGAAGTGGAGAAGATGTTGGAAAGCAATGATTATAAGGCATGGCGTGGAGCAAGGACTCAGGAAAGCAAAGACCATAATACATGACTATTATTCATCATAAGAGATGTTATTCATGTTACTGTCTTACAAATAAAAATTTTACGAAAACTTTTGTCTGCTGAGCATTTTCATTGTGTGCCACAAATTTACAAATTTTCATGGTGTTAGCTATAGAAGCACTATAATCAAATTGACTTGGAGCTACTTTGCTTGCAAAGTTCTACTTAGAAAGCATTTACTTCAGAGGTTTGTCGAGCATGGCCAATTTTAGTTGGCCTGAACTTAGTTGTTGAGTATTTCTATTAGGATACAATTATTTTTCCTATTTTCTCTGTTTTCTGGATAGACTGTTAGGGTTCAAGATGTGGAAAATATTTGCATAATGTTCAAATCTTCTCATATATCTTCTCTCACTTGCTTCTTTCTTGTTCCTCATCATCTGGTGTTATATAAAACGCAAATGTCTCTCCACACAGTAAATTTATAGTATAGAAACTCTCATGAATTGCATGAAGAAAAAAGACTCCATGCATTTTCAATTAAAAACGAATTGTTGCATCATTAACTGTTATAGAATCAGTTCAACTATTTCATAATAGAAAGATGACTGTGTAGTAAATGAAAGTGCGAGGATGGCAAGATAGGATCAAGTGATCTGATGGTTATAAGTGCAGCGATAACTTGCTTCAGCAACACAAAATCCATTTCCACATAAATTTAGACGGCAGTGAGTTCAAAGATACAAAAGGTCCTAAAGAATACTGTACATTTTTATCACCATCTATCTGGGCACTAAGATTTAGTACTTGATAGAAGCAAGAGAAAAAAGATTGTAGCAGTTAGACAAAACATGTAGGTTACAGATTAGGATACAGATCTGCTGTCTGTGAGTGGATCATCGCAACTGCTATGGCGAAAGACTTTAGAGTTGATAGGTTTAATGACAAAACATGTCTTTGCTCACATTCAACACTTTGAGAGTGGGTTCACTGTGTTTTACATCAGATATAGTATACAGGACCAATGCATCCTCTTTTGTCTATTATGTACTTGCGGCTCGACCAATGCATCTTCTTTTGTGTAGTGCTTGTTTGATATGGCCAATAATATGGGGTCAAATGATATAGTCATTATTCTTAACTAATCATGAGTTTAATTAACACCATGGTAGGTGTAGTCGAATGATCCATAATGTTTAGAGGTGATGAGATAAACCGTAGAAAATCTTGTGGAAGCTTATTGTAATTCTTAACAGATCATTCTCGCGGGTTACAGGGGTCAATCACCCTTGTAATTTGCAGTCGTGAAAGAGATGATGTAGCAAACTCTTCTGTTGAGTCGGGGTTCGATGATGCTCCTCAAGATTCAGTTCTATAATTTGTCCGAATACCTTTGATAGATCCTAATAGTCTGCAAATGCTCTGTACTAGGAATGCACTTAATTTAAGACTCAGTTGTGGTATATAGCATTCCTCTTATTGGTCCAGTCAGATACATGCAACATGATCCATTTCCATTATCTGTTCTTTGCAGTTATGTCTTGATGGTTGATTATTTTGAGCCTCATGATGGCAACTGGTAGTGTATTGTATTCAACATCCTCCATGACAATTATTTTACGCGAGCATTATCTGTCTTTCTAGCTTTGGGGAAGCAGAGGCATTTGAGGTGAATTTGATGAGCTTAATAACATCACATGATAAATCATCATCAAACAAAACATGAGATGTTTTTGTATCATATCTCAATTGGAAATGGACTCCTAAAAACCACACACAACCAAAACATGAGATGGAAATGGAGACTAGCACTCCACTCCACACTGCTTGAGAACTGGTCCTTGCTGCCTGGGCAAGAAGGGATCGATCCTGACCCAGACCAGCGATAAGATGGAAGCAAGCAAAATGGACCAGAGCACGACGATGGTGGGAGTTCTGTTCTGCCTTCCCATCAACCCCTTCAAGAACGGATACAGATGGACGATGACCCCGAAGGAAAAGAAGAGCTTCCCGAACAGAGGCCCCCAGGAGCCGTAGCCGTTGTTGTTGGCGTCGGACACGCCGGCAACCACCCCCACCATGTTAAGGATGATCAGCGTGGTGGGAGGGATGAGAAGGGTGGTCCACTTGAAGAGGTAGAGCTTCCCAAATTCTGAGTCTTCGCCAGCCTTGGCGGTGACGGTGAAGTTGGTGTCGACGCTGCCGAGGACCTTGAGGAGGCCTTGGAAGACCGCGAAGAGGTGCGCGGACACGCCGCCGATGACCCAGAACTGCTCGTTACGCCACCAGTCCTGGATGGTCACGCCGCTCCATCGGAGCTCGAGGATTCCGGTGGCGATGATGGACAGGAAGAGGGCGAGGAACCATACGCTCGCGATGTTGTCTAGCTGTTCACAGATGGCGGTGACATGCATGAGGTAGGCAGAGCTAAATGTAGAGTTTGGGCTGCTGCTACTGCGGGGCCGTGTTAGAATCTTACAGTAGGGATGATGAATTTCACGGTGAGGAGGCAGATAGCCGGAATGGTGCAGTAGGCGAGGAAGGGGATCGACGTGAACGGGTACACGATGGTGTTGGTGTACGCGAACCTCTCCAGCCATTTCAGGTTGCCGCCGTAGCCGTACCACAGAGGGCAGTGCCGGCTTAAGAAGATCTCCACCGAGCCCAGCGCCCAACGCAGCACCTGGTGAAGCCGGTCCGACAGGTTGATGGGAGCAGAACCTTTGAACGCCGCCCTCTCGGGGATGCAGTACACCGACTTCCAGCCTCGGCAATGCATCTTGAGCCCGTCAATATGTCCTCCGTCACCGAACCATATATCCACCCAATCTAGAAGACGAGGGGAGAAGAGTGACGCCATTACTCGGAGGCAAGTAGGAAGCATAGTGCATAGTTGGAAGGCTCAAAGCATCAGATTACCTCCTTGCCCCACTCTGTCTTCTCTTCGTATCCGCAGCTGATTACGTGGATGGCCTCCTTGATAAGGCCGGCGGAGTTGATACCCTTCGGCATTCCCCCTTCGTCCATGAGGGTCGACGCGATGAACACCGGCGACTGCCCGAACCGCTGCTCGAAGTTCTTCTGCGACATGAGCGACGACTTCTCCAGCTCCTCGTAGCCCTCCAATCCCTCCTCTATGTCCTCCAAGTCGAGCCGTCTCTTGGTGTAGCCTTTCTTGTTCTACGTACGCTAAAAGATAAATTGATGTATAAAAGCAAATACAAAAGAGCTATACATAGATGAATAATCTTGTTAACTTTAGCCTTCATTGTGTTGTGAAGTGAGTCTGATGACTGCTCCCTTAAGTCGATTGCATCCCCGAAGATGATCATTTCTTCAAGATGACTACTCCTCAAGTTGATTACCTCAACAAAACGATTATTTGCTTAAGATGATCACTTTCCAAAATGTTGATATCATTAAGATAATCACTTTTCAAGATAATTATTTTCATTCAAGATAATTACTCTAAGTCAATCACATCAATTAAGACAATGATCCTTTTAAGTCAGTCTCATAATAACCTCTCCTCAAGTTAGTCATATCATTAAGATGATCGCTATTCATCAAGAAGATTATTTTCTCAAAGCATCATCAAGATAAGATTGACCTTACAAAGTCAACGGAGAAATTTTATCTGAGGACCTAGTTGTAAATACAAGATTTAAAGGTATTAAATTCAAAAGTGAAAATAAAAAAAAAGGGAAAGAAAAGTAAAAGGAGGAAGAAAGGGAATAAGGAAAGAGAGAAGAGGGAGGCATTGGCTGTGAGGACAGAAGAAGAATAGAGGGGAAAAGAAAGTGAAGAAAGAAAAGATGAAGAGAGATCAGAGAAGGAAAGAAGAAGAAAGAAAGAGAGAAGAAAGGGGGAATCAGAGAGGAAGACGCAGAAAGGAAGAACTGAAGAAAAATCGAAAAGAAAGAGAAGAGAAGAAAATAAAAGGAAAAAAACAAAGAGGAAAACTATGAACCACTCGATTGGATGTCAAATGGATACAGATCAAATTGACGAAAATTACAAGAGGTATGGTTTTGAGTTCTCTTGTATTCTTATTAATTAGAATTATGTTTTGGATTATAGATTGATGAATCATGACATTTTTAGCTAATTAAATATTTATATTATGAAATAAATTAAAATGATAAAAAAATAATATATTAAAAATATATTTAAAAAAAAAGTGAGGTAAGATTCAACCTATTTGTATCGAGGATATACGATTAGGATAAGTGTATGATGATTCCGTATAGTTTGATTTTAGAAGTATTGATGCATGTATTTGATATTTGTAAATTATTATAATTTACATAAATTATGTCATTTTATTATCTAAAAAGCATTATAAAAAAAGTTTATGTGTTAATGATTTGGAAATATATATGGTTTGTACTATTATTTATTAATTTATATATATTTTAAGTTATCTTATCAGAATTTATATGAAAATATTTATCCAATATTATATTCAAAATATTAATATATATATTATTAGTTTTGAAATGATGTATTCGTTTTAAAATGATATGCAAAAAGATTTATTAAAACTTTTAGTTGTGTAAAAAAATTGATATATTAATTTTCAAGATAGTTGTCTAGTTACTATAGATATGATCTGAACTCTACCAATGAGAGTTTTGTCATATGGAGATATATGTTACTTATGCAATCGAGATTAAATATGATTTCGAGCTTTGTCATATGGACATAATATGTTCCTAGCTATTAATACTAGTATGATTTTTGATTTGACATGTACACCTTAGTTATAGCTATATTTATGAACTCTCAACTATATTTATATGAATAATAATTTTTGTACTATAATATTTTATGCTTGGACATGTACATTAGTTATATATATGTTTTCATTATGAAAATACATTTAAATATATCGTGCTTCGAAAAGCATCATTAGTAAGTTGAAATACATATAAAAGTGTAAGTATTTGATATTTATGCATATTTTGTAAGATTTAATGTGATCTTAAAGAAAATATTTAATTATGATAAGTTTTGACTATCATGTGAGTCACGGTGTTTATCGAGTTACATTTTGTTCATATAAGTATCTCTAAATTTTTCAGAGTGCACAATGAAAAAGTATTGAAATCAGGTATTGATTAAA